GCAGCACCGGGGCACAGCGCCTAAAGCTCGGGACCGTGATACGGGCCCACGGAAGCTGTCATGTTGCTTTCGAAGCTCGAAGACAAGGGTGAAGGGGTGAAGCGAGGCGTCACCCGGTCATCCCTTTGCTGCGCGCCCCACGGTGGGACGCCCTGATTCTACTCTCCATCCATCCTGCTCCGCGCTGCATCATGCTAGGTGACGACGAAATCCTGAGAAAACGACCATGGCCTTCCAAACGCTATGTAGGACCATGACTACCCCCAGCTTCATGCGGGACCAAGCTACTGAGTGCGGGTCTCACCCTACAAGACATTGAATCTGATAGGTGTAGATGAAGACGGTGACGGCGGAGCTCGCACCACCGTTAACGGGGGGCCCGTGTGGCACCATCCGCCGCAACCTCCAATGTCCCATGTCGATCCCAGGGTTTTCTCGTGTCTTGTACCGTCGGTGTGTGAGATTTGCAGCTCGTGGCGAGCGGGGTCCCACCCCCTCCATGGGCGACGGGGCCATCAGCTCTAACCACCGTATACACCATGCCTGTCCAAGCACAGGATCAGCCAGTCTGTCGGGACCCTTGCCTGGCACAGCGTCGCATGGCCCGCTGGTTATATAAGGAGGAGGAGAACCCCTTCGCTGCCGGGGTTAAAGTTCCTGTCGAGTGATGTAGATTAGTCTTGTTATGTCACACTGGTCAACAATACACTACGATGGCAGAACCAATCCAGGATCCGTAGGTCACTCAGTCGACATTAACGCACAAGTCTCTCGGGCCATGCTGACCGTGTCATAGTCGCAAGACCTCTACGGCCCACGATGAGAATATCGAGAAGGGCAATGTTGAACCGCAACATGATTCTGGTGCTCTGAGCAGAAACCTGGAGGCCAGGTGAGCTTCACTAGCGCGTATGCGCGGTCAACATTGAGCTGACACTCCGCTTAGGATCATCAACCCCCTCGAAGGCATTCCGTACAATCAGCTGATGCGAGATGTGGAAACCTTTTGCCAGGAAAAGGGCCTCTCTGAACACACGGCTGTCTTCCGTAAAGGTGCTCTAGTTGCGCAAAATCCTGATGGCTACCGAGATATCACCGGATCTGAGCGCCTCGACGAAGCAGAGACTCTTGTGATCGAAAGGGAGACCACTCACAAATGGCGCATGCCTATTAAGCTGTTCCTCACGATTGCTACTTGCTCTATTGGTGCGGCTGTCCAGGGCTGGGACCAAACTGGTGTCAACGGAGCCAACATCTTCTTGCCCAAGTACTACGGTATTGATGGCGAAGGCGTCGGTGACCAGCTCATCCTTGGTCTTTTGAACGCCGGCCCATACTTCGGCAGCGCTCTCTGTGGATGCTGGCTATCCGACCCCCTTAACCACTACCTCGGCCGCAGAGGTGTTATCTGGTTTTCAGCCCACTTCTGCATTTGGCCTCTCATCGGCTCGGCATTCTCTCAAAACTGGCAGCAGCAGCTCATCAACCGTCTCCTCATGGGAATCGGCATGGGCGTCAAGGCCTCCACTGTCCCCATCTATGCCGCCGAGAACGCACCGGCGTCTATTCGAGGTGCTCTTGTCATGTCTTGGCGTTAGTGTTCCTCGTCGTATCGACACCCCCGCAAGAGCTAACATGTCCTACACAGAAATGTGGACAGCATTTGGTATCATGTTGGGCACTGCTGTCAATCTGGCTCTTTTCAACCACGAACACAACTGGCGTCTCATGCTTGGTGCTCCATTTATTCCAGCTGTGCCTCTGTTGTGTCTCATCTACTTCTGCCCCGAGTCGCCTCGTTGGTACATGAAGAAGGGACGCTACACCGATGCCTGGAAGGCCATGATGCAACTGCGCCACAACGAGATCCAGGTCGCCCGCGACATGTACGCTATTCACTCTCAGCTTGCTATTGAGCACAAGATTCTCAATCGTAACAACTACGTTACTCGGTTCACGCAACTGTTCACCATCCCTCGTGTTCGTCGCGCAACACTCTCTGCGTTCACAGTGTAAGTACCTCAAGTCCACGATGGCATTCCCCATAAAATCTCAGGTTGGCTAATGCTTCATGATAGAATGTTGGCTCAGCAAATGTGCGGTATTAACATCATTGCTTTCTACTCCACGACGATTTTCAAGGAAGCAGGCCAAAGCGATAAGCAGGCTTTGCTTGCGTCGTTCGGTTTCGGCCTCGTCAACTGGCTTTTTGCCTTCCCTGCATTCTGGACCATTGACACCTTCGGAAGAAGGTCTTTGCTTCTGTTCACCTTCCCTCAGATGACTTGGACACTCCTCGCAGCCGGTCTTTGCACCCTCATCGACAAGGAGAAGCACGAGACTCTACGGACGGCCCTGGTCGCGCTCTTTGTCTACCTGTTCGGTGCGTTCTATTCGCCCGGCGAGGGTCCTGTACCTTTCACCTACTCTGCAGAGGTATTCCCCCTTTCCCACCGTGAAGTCGGCATGGGTTTCGCTGTCGCCACGTGCCTCTTCTGGGCTGGTATCCTCGGCATGACTTTCCCTTTCCTCCTCAAGAGACTCGAGACCGTCGGCGCGTTTGGACTCTACGCCGGCTTCAACGTGGTGGCCTTCATCATGATTCTGTTCTGGGTCCCCGAGACGAAACAGCGCACCCTCGAGGAGCTCGACTGGGTGTTTGCGCTGCCCACCTCCCGCTTCATGTCTTACCAGGTGAACAAGTTCATTCCCTGGTTCATCAAGCGTTGGATCTTCTTCAACAAGAACGCCGAGCTCGAGCCTCTCTACTCCTTCGAGCAGCGCCAAGCCGCCGGTCCTACTCGGAGCGACAGTTCCGATGCCGCCGTGTCGGACTCTGAGAAGAGGGTGTAAGCGGAGCGATATGAGTCGGACAAGAGCATGCAAGTTCGGATATCCACGATGAAAGAATGTGTAATGAAGTGGATGCTTTCAGGCATGATATGCAGTGGTCTGGAGGACCGTCGTGTTGGCGATACTTCGAGAGGGCCATTGCACCGGTTCGAGTGCGCATCGAGACTTCTTAAACTTAGTGATATACCCATGATTCAACTTCAAATGTTACACGAGTGCCTTCTGGTTAGGTTGTTCATTTCATTTCAGTCCCAGTCGTGATTTGTCTGGCTATGATATCATCAGTTGCGATTGGGGTTGTTTCTCAAATACCGTTTCCATGCCTACTCAAAGCCATGGGTCGAGTCTCGTAAAGAGCAGCTCGGCCAACGTTGTGTAAGCCATAAGCGGGAAAAGGACGCCAGGAGGTCAGGTTTGAGAGACGACACCTAAAAAACAAGAAACAGGTTACTGTAGTGTGAATGGCAGGTCTGGGTCACGCATGCTAATCCCGAACACAGGACATGGCCGGAGAAGGATTCGCACCCCGTTCGTCGCAGAGCCGAAAACCGGTGATGCCCCTCGGCAGGTGCCATGCCAAGGGCCAAGAGTGCCAAAATTTCTATAATTATCCATCTTCCGCACAATCAGAATGAAGGTAAGCAAGTTTTGGCAGGGCTGCAGGTGTGGGGTCGGCACAGTGGTCTACTCATGGTTCAAATTGTCCCACTTGGCACTCGACCGCCGTTTATACCGTGAATCGCATACGGAACTCCTAACTTTGTCTAGGGAGTATGCGTCGATCTGGACCCAAATAGAATCCCTCGCTTCTCGGCCAGATCCTTTCCCCCCCGCCTTCCACTTTCGGTTTATGTTCCTTAGGTCGAGATCGAAAGGCTGAACTGAGTGCCTCCGGCCCGCCGTTCTCCATCACGCATGCCGAGCTTCCATCAGCCTCATGTGTGTTGGTAAAAGGATTCACGAGCATCTTGGCTTATAGGCAGCACATACTTCGCAAATACGATGACGACGACTTCGTTCCTCATCGGGTCTCTGTTTACCATTATGGAGCATCTTCTACCAAAGTTCCTCCAATATGATGATCTTCACAGAATCTTTAATTGACCGAATCTCGGGATCGCCGCCATCAGTGACACGATTTCCAGTGAAGGATGCGGAGTTCTGCATTGGCACCGTCATTTTTAGCCCATCACTAAAGATCATAATCATCCTCACGACGAGAGTCATCGGCCTCGAAGTGCTTCGTACTGCCATTTGAATATAAATAAGACGATGCAAGTCAAGCTTGGGAGTAATTTTATCCCAATCACACAACCAACACCAACATCCATCAGAAATTTTACTTTACTATTACCAACAAAAGAATATTTCCAGTACTCTAAACACCACAGCCCTTTTCCCGCTATGAAGACCTCAACTTCAGCCTTGCTCGCGGGCACAGGCTTGACACATGTTGCCGCTCAGTTTGATTGCAACAACCCTGATATTGCCTGCCCGGACACGCAGGAGTGGTTTGACCAGTTGCCACAGCCTCTGGTCGACTGCGATGCCGACTTCCGCCCCGAATGGGAAGATTGTAAGTGATGTACCGAGAACTTCAGGCAATCAGACGTGCTTGCACAACCTAGGCCAGTCTACTGTTGATTACTGGTTCGGCGAGAAGGAGGACTGGAACACCGACACGATTCATACGCACGGCGAAGATGGACTGCCGACGCCATCCTGCCGTTGGTGGTTCTGGGAGGACGGCAACTGTCGGATCACACACTGCTTCACCGATCAGGCGCCTGCTGGGGACAAGGCCATCTACGCCTACTTCAAGAAGGACTACAACGCCATCCGCGATCGGTGCCAGACATTCCGTGCTGGTGGCTTCGTTACGGAGATCGGGAA